TACACCTCTTTTGAAGCAGGGCGAGAGCAGCTTTAAGATGCCTCGTGGCTTCGTTGTACATGGATTTGGCATCAGGCGTGCGTAATCTTAACCAGCGTCTCCTGGCCCATCTTTTGTGTATTAGTAGGTGTTGGGCCTCCAAGGTGAGGGGGATGTTGTACGGAGACTGTTGTCTTGTTTGGCAAGATGGTGGGGCGGCTTGGTGCGCAGCTTTGACTATTTCTTCCTGCAGTTTGTTTGCTGCGTAGTCCACGTCTTCAGGAGTGTTAAGTTCCATTTCTATGTGCAAAGAGTAATGGAGCTCGCGCCTAAAGACTCCTAAATCTGATCCTGCTGGCAGTAGTTGTTTCCTAATGGGCAAGGGCTGTGGCTGCGCGTGGATTGTGACTATTAGTGGCAGGTGGTCAGAGGATAGGTCCAAGGATTCTTCAATGGTCAATTGCCGGTCACAGATGCCTTTGTAGACAGCGAAGTCGATTGCCGAGGGCCTGTGTCCATTAATTGGGTAACGGGTGGGGGCTCCAGTCGCCAATATGCTGAATTGTAAGTTTTGAATCGCCTCAAATATGACTTCTCCGCGACGATTCGCACTATTGCTTCCCCAAAATGGGTGCCATCCATTCCAGTCGCCGCCGATGAGGGTCTTATTCAACCTTTGGCCTAGAACCTGTTCCATGTGATGATCACACAGACCAGTGTTTGGCGGAAGATAAATTGACGCAACTTCGATCGCTCCAATAGACGTAGGCAGGGTGATGGCTGAGACCTGCATTGTTGCGTTGCAAATTGGCAGTAAAGGTGTATGCGGTATTGTTGCTCGTATGAGGATTGAGGATCCACCAAAGCAGTTTGCTCCTTCACCATGAGCCTGATAGTGTTCGTATCCGAAAATTTGTGTAGTGGGGCACTCATGAGTTTCTGTTATTAACATTATATCTATGTTTTCTTGTGAGAGAAACGCAGCCAGTTCCTGAGTCTTGTTTCTCAGGCCATTGGCGTTCCAGATACCCACACGTAAAGCCATTATTTGTAGGCAAGCTTGGTTATGATGGCCATTAAACTGTTTAGCATGGTTGCTTGTTGGGATTGTACTTCTCGCATCGCTTTGAGCTCGGCATTAATTGCGTCAAACTGACGTTGTTGTTGCTGAAGCATTTCAGTGAACAAAGTGTCACTTGTGGTATTCTTATTTGACGGTCCACCTCTAGCGGCCTGTGCGTAAGAAACACCACTAATAGGCGTTGCAAAGCTCGTGGCTTGGGTAATGCTCCGGGGCCTTGTAATTTCGGAAGCAGTACTCGGACCCGTAGACGGTGTTTGTGTGGGACTCCTTTTTTGTGCTGGGGATTGCAATTTGCGCAACCGCTTGTATACTTGGCAGCCCTTATAGTTGGCTGGGTGCTGTAACTCACAGTGCACACAAGTTGGTGCCTGGTCCTTTTCGCGGGTGCAGTCTTTGGATGCGTGTTTCCCGGCGCAACGCACACATCTGGGAGCTTTGTGGCAGTAGCGTTGTGTGTGTCCAAATTCTTGACAGCGATGGCATTGTGTCAGGTCGTTGTATCTTCTTGGCAGTTCCACTGTGCAGCGTTGCCTGCAGACAACTCGAGTGTCCAAAATTTCTTTGTTGTTGGGGGCCTGAGCCACGTCAACAAAAAATATATTTAGCGGTGTTTTGTCCATACGGCTCAGTGGGTTGTGCACATTTGTAATTGTGTGGCCTTTGGTTTCCAATTCCTTTTTAATTAGTGTTGTATCAGTGCTGGAGTGAAGCCCTTTGAACACGACTCTATATGGTTTGTCCTCCTTAAGCTGGTAGCAGTGGAACTCCAATTCCAGCTTAGTAAAGTGGTCTATAACTCTGCGATAGTCCTCACTGCATTGGGTTAATACACCTATGTTATTCTTCTTTGGCTTAATTACGTATGATTTAGCATCAATTACTTTATCTATTATCTGTTGAAGTAGGGCCACAGACTTGATGTTTGGACACCATATGGGGGGCGGACGAGGTTTCGGTGTAGTTTGCTGGTCGGTCAATACTGGGGCTTCTGGAGCTACAGGTGATTCGCTGTAGTCTTCATCTTCTTCTACGAGCAGTGAAAATCGATTTTCTGATATTAATGCTGCATTGCTGGTGCTTGGTTCGTCGAAGATGAGCCTTTTCTTGATGGTTTTTGGTGAATTTGGCTGTTTACGTTTCGTGTTTTTGTTGTTAGTGATGCCTTGCACGGAGGCGATATCTATTTTTGAGTTTATTGGCATGATGGAGGCTTGCCTATTTGCCATCACAACGTTAAGCTGGGCTTGCATTTCTGCATTTACCTTTACAGGTGTAGCGAGGTCATTGACATTAGATGTCATCGCGGATTGTGCTTTTGAGTGCAGGCGCACTCGCGCCAAGCGACGAAATTTCGTAAATTGCAATTAAAGCAATTGAGTTACGCGGAAGCAAGCGATAAGAAAACGCTGCGTGTGCGGTTTTTGTTGCTGTTGCGTTGAAGAATGCACCGCAAAGTTCTATTTTTAGAACTCTGCAGCAGTAGAGCTTAAGCGAAGGCTGTTCGAATTCACGTCTTTACAGGTCGAACGACTGATTGTTCTGTTGTTATCGAATATTGCATGGCTACACTTTGATATGTCAGCAAAATTGACTCTTGGCCAAAAACTAAACGTTAAATTTGTAATATATTCATATATATATATATATATATATATATATATATATATATATCCTTTTTTGTTTTATTTGGAATACTTGCATTTTGTTTCAGTTTAATGCTCTGCAAGCACTTTGAGAGCATGAAATAGGTTATGCTCGACTATCGATAGCTACCTGCCTAAAATGAAAATATAATAATAATTCTATAATTTTTAGGGATATACTTAATGCTTTTCATATCTTATATAAATATCGTAATATTCTATATAAATATTATAAAAACATCAAAAGGCTTAGAATGTACTTAAACAAGTCACAGCTACCTACAGGGTATCCGCAAGTCAGTCACACATTCAACTGAAACACTAACTAGCTGTCAATTACAATTTGCTATCTTGAGTGTATGCACTTTATGTGCTGCCAGCTATTGTTTGTCCTGTTTCCTCGCTACTCATGCAACTATATAAATTAGTAGGGGTATTCCTTAAGGCTGTGCTATTTCTGGCTGCAGAATAACTGTTAGTCCGGCATACTCTATTGAAAACACTTTAACTTGCTTTTTGTGAGGTCTGAGCTAAGCGAATGTCATGGCTGTGTGTGTGTGTGTGTGTGTGTGTGTGTGTTAGCTGTTAGCTGGCAATTCCCAGCTCGATGGGACACACCGAAATTCCATTTGTTCTCCTTGTGTGGCCATCAAATGTAGTGTGTCCTGTCGTATGCTAGCGCGTCCTGTCGCATTCTATCTGTTGTATTTGCATATCTGAAGGCACTTAGAGCAGGGACTTTACCATGACTTTAGTTGGATTTCATTTGGTGCAGCAGCAGCTGCTGCCATAAGGCATACACAAAGTAAATATTTGAGCTGCCACTTGATTGGCCAAAGTGCCACAAAGTGCAACAAAATGTTGCTAGATGCAAGCGAAAATAATACAGCTCGAATGCAGCACGTTCAATGCATAAATCAATTATGGCAATTATTTCCAATTTGAAAACAAACTGAAAACTGAAATCTGAAAACAGAGCAAACGCAGCAATAATTGAATTTAACTTAAGCTCTGCTGTGCCCCCATTTCCCCCTTTGCCTCTTCCACCTGCCTCCATTGAAATTCTATCAAAAATAACCGCAGCACAGCGCACAATCACATAAATCACGTATACGCAATGTGCCACGCACTCAACAAACCTAATTGTTGTTGTTCACTCGTTCATTCGATGCCAGGCAAATGCTGTGCTCTGCTCTGGCCCCTCAGGCTCAGTTGCTCTCAATGATAAATCGAATTCGATTGCCTTGGCATAACTCATGCGATTAGAAACTCGGCGCTATTAGCGCGCTAAGCCACAATGACACGAGCTGAAGCGGCTTAGGTTTAAGCTTCAACTTGCTAAGTGAATGAAAATATAAATTTGCTCTCGGCTGCGTCTTTATTTTGTTTTAATTATTAAAATTAAAATTTAATTTACTTATTTTATTTGATTTTACTTAAATTGAATTTTTTCGGTTTTATTTAATTTTCCTTAAACTTCATAAAATTTGTTTTAATTGTTTTATTTATTTATTTATTTTATTATATTTTATATTCCAAATTTATTTGATATATTCTCAGATTTGTTTCGTTTATTAACTTTTCACTTCTAATTCATTTTCTATGATATTTTTATTTATTTTTTTGTAAAATATTTTTTATATTTCATTTTAGTCTTTTCATTTGAGACCATTTATAAATTTTTATAGTATATTTTATATTTTACATAACTTAGTTTTAGACATTTATTTTGTTTCATAATTTTTTTTATATATTGGATTTGTTATCTTTAAAACATTCCTTTGCTGTACACTAATAGATGAATCGGAAGCTTTTAGATTAAGTGATTCTTCAAGAAAGCTTTCTCTACTCTATCTGTTGATCCAATAAATTAGTGCTTTTCGGTGCTTTTAAAGCTCAATTACTATAAAGTTTTTTCTTTGGCTGATATTAATGTGCTTAAAAAATAAATATTTATAATGATAGCTAGCTGAAGATAGATACAGCTGTATCTCAGTTGCTTTAAAGCAGCGATTAAAGAGCTTTGAGCTTAAGTGTGCATTGATAAATGGCTTAAATGGCTTATATGTTGTTCTTATTACGAGCAAAGTCTTAGCTTAGCTATAACAATAAAGCACTTTAAGCTTCGAAAGCTGCTGGGATTGCATTTAGCTTACCTTCCCTGCGCGACAGCTGCCAATTAGATTTAAATAATATTTGCAGCGAGTGAACGTAATATTCAGATTAAAGTGAAAGATAACGAGTTGGAGATAAACTATAAAACGCATTTGCAATTGCTCTCAATGTATTTGCAGGAAGCTTATCGTCGCTGGGTGTGCAGCACGCTGGTGCCGTATTTCGCTGAGCCGCAGGATGTGGATGCAGCGGCAAAGCCGACGCCAACGCCAGCGTCTGCGTCAGCGCCAAGCGATGAACTCGCCACGCCGCGAGGGGCAGCTGTAAAGACAATGCCAGCGGGCAAAAGTAAACGTGCAGCACGAACCGTGGGCACAGCAAGCGGAGGCGGTGGAGGAGGAGGAGCTGCTGCTGCTGCTGTTGCTGCGGCCGCCACCGCTGCTGTTGGTGGCACGGGCAACGGCATCAAGCATAAATCTCAGAAATTAATCAGCAATAACAATAAATCAAATAACGGCAATAACATGAACGAGCGTCAGATTAATCAACAGCATGACGAGGACAATGAGCCCCGCGATGAGCCGCAAACAAAGCTCTCGACTGCGACTGTGGCTCGGGCGTTCTACGATGTCGTTGGCATTGGCCAGACCCAGACCCAAGCCCAAGTCCCGGCCCCAGTTCACAAACAGTTCCAGACCCAGTTCCAGTTCCAGTTCCAATTACACAACAACAGCAACAGCAACAGCCATAGCCGAGCTGCCACTGCTCAGCGTGAAGAGGAAGACGAACAATTCAATAATTTCATATCGACTGCCAATAATGCGGATCCCAGTGCAGCGGATCCAGTGATATCAAAACTACAAAAGAGGTTGCTTAAATCATTTATATTGCTTGACTTGAGAATACCCTATAAAACTATATATTTTCTCTCTCTCTCTCTCTCTTTGTCTCTGTGTCGCTCGCGTAGATCAACACGCAAGGCAGAGTTCCGCAAACGCCGCAGGATTCGACCCTGCCTTAGCGTCTGCCAAACCGTCGAACAAAAGTGCCCCTATCTGCTGCCCGCCGATCGCGCTCCCGCGCTGCCCACCCAATATGCCGGCGAGCCGACATTTGTATGCCTAGGTAAGTTCGATTTCAACTATATTATTTGATTTTGATAATAATTATTTTAGAATTTTAATTTAATTAACAAAAATATTTTAGTTGTTAAGTTTTTTTTTTTTGACGCCAGAATTTTGTGTTAAATTAGAGGATTTTTTTAATAAAAATTATTTGTAAAGTGTTGCTTTGTATGTAAAGAGGTCTTATAATTTATGATACAGTTGTAATGCTATAAATGTAAAAAAAATACCTGAAAATAGAAGTTACTTGATCGTAACGAATTGTTCTAGATCTACTTAAGATTCCATGATTCCCATATGCTAATACTTAACAATGATTGTGTAAATTTAGTAAACAGAAATAGTGAAGATTCCTCATCGGTATTCGACTATTCTTATAGTTTAGTCGCCTTTGGGTTTAGAAATTGCACTGAAATGAAATAAATATATTTTCTAAATTTCGAATTTGAATAGAAAGACAACTAAAGAGGTCTTATGATTTATGATACAGTAGTAACAGGCGATTAGATATGCTATAAATATAATAAAAATACCTGAAAATAGAAGAAATAGTGAAGATTCCTCATTGGTATTCGACTATTCTGATAGTTAATAGTTAATAAATATATTTATAAACAAATATATTTTCTAAATTTCGAATTTGAATAGAAAGACAACTAGATTGAAATCACAAAACGAAATCTGAATTAAAACGTTAACCGCAACCTGAACAGAAAACTGAATCTAAATAACTTTAATTTGAATTAAAAATAGTTATAAAATAAACTTTAGACTTCTAAAGACAATAAAAAAAAATAAAAAACATGAATATAACTTTTGCCTCACATCTGCCGTTTATTTAAGCTTAATTATAATAGAATTGTCAGACATAAATTGTAGTTAGAGGAAAATCTAGCGCAAGTTTTGGTTATGAAAATAATGGGAAATTGCCATATTTTCAGTACAATGCGCAATACGAAATGTAAATTATTACAAAATATAAAAAAATATGGGAAATATTTAAATTTGTACGAACAATACCAAAAGGGATGCAGTCAAGCAGATACAAAAATATAAAGTTAGCGTTTGGACTGTCAGCTAAAGCGCTCAGAATACCTAAAAATTCATATATTACTATTATTTATTTTATTTACTATTTTTAATAATAATTTGAATAAATTTTAATTTAAGTAAATTTTTTTCCAATTGCCAAAATATATATTTTTAAATATTTATAAAAAAATGTAATGTTATCAAAATATTTTCTTATGCTGTATACGCTTAAATATAAAGGAGATATTAATTAATATTATTATTAAATATTATTATCTTAAATGTAAAAATTGTTATATTTAATATTTAATAAATGTTTAATAGTCAAATTCTTGTAATATAAAATTATTTAAAATATTTTTAATATATTTAATATATTTACTATGTTAGTCAGCACATTTCAATTACTAAATTATGTTGGCCTGTGTTATGAATTTCAAGAATGATTACTTAAAAACTTTAGTTCATTATGAAGCTTTTATATTTAAATTTGCCATCTTATTTTTTAAATATTTTAAGCTTTTAATTATAATTTGTTCTTAAGTAATATATTATTAAGATGTGATATACATACATACATAGTATATAGTATATCTGGCTATATATATCATGAGTTGCATCGCTTGACCCATTCCGCTGCACTTGCAGATCAAAATATACCGGAGACTGGAGAGCAGTTGAAGAAGTCGAGCTATGGCCCCAACGACTGCTGCTACAGCTACTGCAATGGACCCACTGAGGGCATCTGCACCATCTGCCCGAGCTTTGCGCCCACCTTCGACTCGGCCAGCAACAAGAGCAGCAACTCGAGCTCAAGCGGTCATCGGGTGCACAACATAACGCTGACGCTGAGCTCCCCGGCGGGGGAGCATGCACGTGCTGCGAGCGTCTCGCTGGCATTGAGGAACATCTCACGAACGACTGGGGAGCAGGCAGCTGGCTTGCTGGAGCAGTTGCCGTATTATGCGCATTACGAGAGCGTCTACTACTATGATGACGATGAGCAGGGCAGCGAGATGCCGGAGCGGGCGCTGTCTGGCGGCTGCGCGGCGGTGCCGTCAGTGAGCAGCCGCTGTGATATACCCTATTATGCATCCGGTGTGGCGCCGACGCCGCCGACGCAGCTGCTTGTCTGGTTGAGTGCTCTGCTTGGTCTGTTGAGCAGCTGTGGCGCTGGGGCGGCGAGACAGCGCTGCAGTGGGCGTGCCCAGAGGGCGGCAGCGGCAGCGGTAGCGGAACGTGTGGATTCATGTCCGGGCAGCTGTCATGAGCTGTTAGCGAACAGTCCAAGTCCGAATCCAAGTTCGAGAAAGAGAGACGGAAATGGAAGCGGAATCAGAGGCGGAGGCGGAGCCGGAGGCGGAGGCGGAAACGGAAACGGAAGTGCAAGCTTCACTGCCACACACAACAGACACAAATGGGCGTGGCCATGGGAATGGGAATGGGCATGGCCGTGGTCGTGGTCGTGGACATGGGCATTAACATGGGCATGGGCATGGCTATGGTCATGGCTATCGCTCATATGCCGAAAAGTGCGTTATCTACGCGTATCGCGAGACCGTAGTCGTATAATTAACTATAAACACATACAGCTACAGTTACAACCACAGATACGAAACAGACGTTGCACGAGCGATAGGAATAGATATGATAGGAATTACCGTTACATCTACTATTACAACTACAACATCAACGATTGGTGGCGGAGATGGAAGTGGTTAGGCAGCGATGGTCGAGCGGCAACCATCATCTCAAAGGGCGCCTTATAGTGCATGCAATAAGTATGCGGCCACACACACACCCTCACAGAAACACACACACACACACACACACACACACATACACACAGAGAGAAACACATTGCGAATTTTCACTAAGATTTGCAGTTCAAAACAAAAAAATGAAAAAAACCAATGAAAAAACCCAGAAAAGAAAAATGTCATTAATTGTATTTCGTACTCTAGAAAATTACTCGTAATGCTAGCTAATTAAAAAACAAAAAAAAAAGAGAAAAGAAAAACAAGTTGAGTGTAAAAACAAAGAAAATTTGCAGGTCGTTTCGCCTACCAATTTGTTTGGAAGGGAAAACTCAATGAGAGCAAATGATAAATGGGAAAAGAAATTGAAAATGGAAAAGGCAAACAAAAACACTTTAAATATTTATGGTCCTCTTTCAAATGAAAAATATAAAAACAAAAACAAAAAAATATGAAAGTAAATAAATTATAAATCTCTATTGAAAAAAACCTAAAAAAAAACAAAAAACAACAACAAATAGCATATTTTATTACAACTAGAAACAAAGAATATTAATATTTAATTAAACAAAAAACAACTGCCACAAAAATAGGTTTTTTAGGTAAACATTAAACGAAAATAAACCAAAAAAAAAATCACATTTAACAAAAGTATATTGAAGATGAAGAAGAAGCGGAAGCAGAAGAGAGAGAAAACCCAAAAGAGGAATACATAAATATACATAGTTATAAACTTAAATAAAGGCGGATAAAAAATAAATTAAAAAAACAAAAACAAAAGTACATTTTAGGCTAGCTAAGTATAACGAAAAACAACAACAACAAGAAAACACAAAACACGAAATGAAATTTAGACTAAAGAAAAAACACAGCTCGCAAAACAATTAGCAAAACCAAAAATAAAGAAATATTTAAAAGAATAAATAATAAAAAAAATCTGTTAAAAAACACACACACACATTTCACTGAAAATACATGAACATATAGACCGCTTTTCAAATTAATTTCAAAACATTTAAACAAAAACCAAATACGAAATAAAAAATAAAACAAAAGGAAAAACTTTACTTAAAACATAAATTAGTTTAAAGAAAGCAAAAACAAAATCAAATATTATAACATAGTCGAAAATATGAAGAAAACAAACGAGTTAGCAGAAACGAAGCAAGCGAGAAACTTGAAGAAGCAGCAGCAGCAGACGACGAGAGCAGGCAGAACAAGTAACAACCAACAATGTGTCTAAGATTGTCTTTATTTAGTTTTTAAACATGAACTTTGTATAACCAAAAAAAAAAGAAAAACAATATAAAGCGCACAGTAAACTTAACTTTTAAGGTTCATAAACAACATAGAAGCAAGAAGCAAAGGAAGAAGCAGCAGCAGCAGCATATGCATACAATTATAAATGAGTTTTTAGGGCAAGCAAACTGACGTAAAGCCTAGGCATATATATGGATTATATATTTATAGTATGCAAAGCAGGAGAAGCAAGAGAGAAGTAACAGCAGCAGCAGCAGCAGCAACAACAACAACATACCTACTATATATAAATAGTGCATACAAATAATATTAATAATAATAATAAATAAAAGAAATAATAATAATTTTTGTAATAAAGTTAACTCTATGTAGCGTACATAAACATAACAAGAGAATACACATGAAACGCATAAATATATATATTATATATATTTATAATTAACAATTTATCGTACATACACAGATTATACCCATAGGCAAACAATAAAAAACCAAAGGAAAGTAAAGAAATTATAATATATAAGTATTATAAATATATATATGAGAATAATTAGTTACTAAATGAAACAAAAGTTAGATGTATTTGGTATTAACTAATTGCCTATTGAATTAAGCATGTACCACCAAAAAAAAAAAACAAAAACATGACTCGACTTGACTCTCAACTCAACTCAACTCAACTCCAATCTTTCAACACTTGCCTCATCCACAAGTCTTTCACTTTTACTTTCACTCTTTTCATCGACTTCATCGAGGCACTCGCCAAAGCTTTGACGCTCTATTTAGCTTTCAATATAATTTCTGTTTCAGGTTAAGGCACTGCAGGCAGTACTGAGAACCCAAAACTTTCTTTCGACAAACATTGTTAGCCAACTAACTGACGCATTACTTTAAGCAAATACAAAGAATCTCTGTTCCCTTAAACAGCACATTAAGTGTGGCATGTTAGGTGTTGTAGTTAACAAAACGTAGTTACCTAAAAGCGATTAAATATATATATACATATAACACTAGCTGAAAGTTGCACTTAAGCTAGGGATTAATCTATTTCAGCAACTTGTTTCAAGACTTTTTGCTTGAAAGCACACTAAAGCTCTCTTTTTATAAATCAAAGTTCAAGTTTTATTCATCTAAGTTCACTTTATCGTAAGTTAAATAACTAACGGGAGTTACTTTACTTCTAAAAGCTCTTTAAAGCTTAGCGAAAAGCCATTTTCTTTCTCAATAACTTAATTGCTGGATTAATCCCGTCCAACAACTTTCACTGAAGTGTATTTTCATAAAAAAGTGAAAGTACAAAAAGCTATTATCTTTCTTGATTTCCCTTCCGCTTTCAGCTAGTGTCCCAAATTGATTCTAAAGCTCATTATTGAAACTTAAACTTTTCTCGTTCCCACCTGAGCTAAAACAGCTTTCACTTCTAATTTCCATATCACTTAATCAATACAACTTAAAGAGAAATCTGCTATTTGCCTTTGTAAATACACACACATGCACACATCTCATACGCACACACACACACATCTTCTCACACACACTCACTAACTCACTCACTGTTGAAGAAAAGTATGCAATGAATTTCTAGTTTTCGTACCTGTTCTGGACTTTGATTTATGAGAGTTCTTTTTCCGTAGATTTCTGTTGTTTGTCCTTCAATAATTGAGATAGATATAAATGAGATATTTACATAGGCCCGATTTTCGTGTGCATTTCCAATTAAATGAAAAATTGATGAAAACGTTTTCTAAAAATGGGGAAATAGAGAGGAAATTAAAACAAAGAAAACCATTTCAAAGCGAGAGCCGCTGGCACAAATTGCGCGCATATGCAAATTGTTATGAATTATTGTGTACTTTTGTAAAACTTTTTGATATATATAATATAGTTAACATGAATAGATGCCTAAATAATAAATTAAATGTTAATTTATTTAAATGTAAACAATAAAAGAAGAGGAAAACCCAGCAAAAAGCGAGAGGCGAAAAGCGAGAGGAAATGCTAAAATATCTTCAACTAGTTGAAAATGGTAAATTGATAAAGATAATGATAATGATGACGATGATGATGATTATGATAGTGTTATTTAACGATATTACATATATGGTATATATATATGGTATCTGGGTATACGGATCGAGCATGAAATTACTTTACAGCAAAAACATTTACATTCAAAGTTTTGTGTACAAAAAAAACAAAAGCAAAAACATTTTTGGACATTTCATACTCTCGTAATGTTAAAGCTCATATGCGAATACTTGAAACCCAAAAAGAAACCTCCAAAAAAAAACCCCAAAAACAAAAATCGAAAATCGAAATCAATACAAATAATTAGCACGAAAAATATTATAAATAATAATTATAATAATAATAATGAAAATCGAGTATAACAAATATATACAATAATTTTTGTAAACTCTCAGCTGCTACAACAACAACAACAACAGCAAAAGTGCAGCTGAGCAAAGAAAGCAACAAAAAAGTAAAGTAAAATGAAAAAATGTTATGGCAAGGTAGCAATTATTTTTTACAAAACCAAAGAAAAAAATCCCAAAAAAAAAATATATATAAACTATTTAATGTATGTAAAATTAACAAACAAAAAAGAAAATGAGCAAAAATTTTAACATGAGGAAAAACCAAAAACAAAAGAAAACCAAACCAAAATTCTTTTTAGGCCACAAAAAAAAAACGAAAAGAAAAAGGAAATATTACATAATTTATGTGCCAAGCGAGAGAAAATTATTCCATGTATCGTATTTGATATCAACAGCAAAGCGAGCACACAAAAACAAAAAAAAAAACAATTATAAATAAATTAAAAACAAAACAAAAATAAGTAAATAAAACTCATGTCAAATTTAAATACAAAAAAAATAAAAGTAAAAATATAAATTGAAAACATGTCAAATACTCTTAGCAAAAGAATTTTGAATGTGTGTGTGCAGAGCCCAGACCCTACACCTCCTCCAAATTTAAGTACACCCACTCCTGCCCCCACGCCCAACAGCCACTCACACCCGCTCCAGACGCCAACGAACATTCAAAGTTTGTTAGTTAATTAATGAAAACGAGAACTTATTAAGAAAACAGCTAAAAACTTTACAAAACAAAAAAAAAACAAAGCAAACAAAAACTCTAACTGAAATCTTCTGTACTTGTTAATTGACAACAACAACAAAGCCACATAGAGAACAAATATAAAAAAGTTAAATTAAAACAAAAAATAACAACTTTAACTATAAACCGAATTAAAACTGAGCAAAACTTTTCGTAAAAATACTTGATTCCCAGTCGAAACGATTTACTTAAGTCTAAAAAAACTCTAAATATGGAGAGATAATGTAATAGCAAAAACTATGTTAAAATAATAACAATAATAATAATATGGCATACATAATTGAAAACAAAGCAAGAAGAAGCAGTAAGGAAAGGACAACTGGCATAATTATGGTAATTGTAAAATAATTAAACAATGACGTAAACGTGAAAAACAAAGGAAAAAAAAAACGAGAAAAACAAAAAAAAAGCAAGTGAAAATAATAAAAATAAATTGTTGTTATTGAATGTATTTGTATAGAAAATTATTATGATTATGACGATGAATAATAAATGATTACAAATAATAATTATTGTTCAAAAGAGAAAAACAAAAATGAAACCAAAAAAAAAAAAAAAAACAAAAAACAAACATAAAACCACAAAACCAAAAACCAAAAACCGAAAAACCAAAACAAAACAAAATAATATATATACATATATATATGAGAATAATGTTTCTGGCTTCATTTTTATTCAATTTTTGGCAGCGAAGCGATGACCGTCGTAATTGGCCAGGAAATGCGGAAGAGTTTTGAAAGCAGCTGAAAAGCTTAGCAGAGCTTTTAAGTAGCTTACCTAATGCTGAAAGTAACTTGAATGGTCGTGATAAATACGAAAGCTTACTTATTTGAATACAAGCTGAGCTTAAGCTTTTAAGGAGCTTTGGTGCAGCTCAAAGCTGAATTGCTTATGAATTGCTATGTCCCCAGAATTTATTTTGCAAAGCTCAATAAATGTAAAAGCTATAAGAGCTTTGTAAGCACATTTTTAAAAAGAGCTTCAGCTAGTTAGCAAGCTTTGAATGAGCTTTAGCGAAGCTCCAATCTGAAACCGAACTACATGTTGAGTATCTATTGTTTGTCTGCTGCAAGTACTCAGAGCGGCTTTTGTAGCGCACAGGACTAATCACATGAATCAGCTCTTTTCAGCTCGTGTCATTGTGGCTATTTGCTTCCCTGACCCGATTGGCAGCAAAGTGAAAAGCGCAAAATGTGCGATTCAAACTTTCACTTTTTCCTTTTCATTTTTTGTTTTTGTTTTTGTTCTTGGTTTTGTATCCTTAATGCCAATTTCTGTGGAGGCAACAACAAGCAGACCGTAATTAGACAGGCAGCAGTAGCAGCAGCAGTCGAGTCAAGCAGCTGGCTTCGTTTTGCGGCCCGAAGCAGCTTGCCGAAGCGCTGGCCATTGGGGCAGGCAGGCGGGCAGGTGTTGGCTCTGTGGCAGTGGCAGTGGCCGTTGCTGTGACTGTGCCGCAGATTCAGATACGTTTCGACACGCGAAAGGGAAAGTTCGTGCAGCGCAGCAACGCAGCCGGCCAAGACATCAATTGGTAACGGGCAGCTGCCACATGCCACAGTTGCGTGCCTCATAGCCAAGTCCAAGTGCGTGTGTGCGAGTGTGTGCTGGATTGTGTGTTAAAGTGTCCAAATATTTGCATAGGCCGCACGGATAAAGGTGCACGTTAACGAGCTGACGGTCAACTAGGCCCCCAAAAGGTTTTTACAGCTGCGGTTTATTTTGGCTGGGGGCGTGGCACACTGTGTCTGTGTGTGTGTTTGTGTGTGTGCAAAATACGTGTGCGAAAAACTAATTACAAATAACACGACTCGCTTTTAGCCATGTCAGCATCTGCCTCTGCCGCTGCCTCAGCCCTGAGCCCCAAGCCCTGAGCGCTGAGCCCTGTGCCCTGTGTTAATTATGGCCAACAGCATCAGCTACAAATGCCGCGGCTAAGCTGCCACGCCTGCCCCGCGTCATGTGCCAGCCGCACAACAAACATTGGGCAACACGGCTTTGTACTTCATTTTAAAAAATAAAATTGTGCCAAACCCGCCGAACAAAAGGTCAAAATCTAATTGAAATTGACGCGGGAATGTGCAGAACAGCGTATGACTCGTTCGACATATATATATATATATATATATATATATATATATAATGACTTTTTTCGTCTCTGAACTTTGTTATATGTGTTTCAGCTTAGTTTAACTAAAATCTAATTTCGTTTTTGCATATGCAAATGTTTTTTATTGTTGGAGTAGAGTTTTTATAAAGTTAAAACTTGTCAAACAGTTTCAGTAGTTCTACTAAATGCGATATATGTACATATATTTACACTGCCATATATTAGATATATGTCAGCTTACATATATGCGATAAGTAAGGATTAAGGAGTAAAGGAATATACAAAAAAATATACGAAAATAAATTGCAGCTCTTTTGGGCTCTCTTAGCTCTCTTCCTTTCAAGTAAATCTAGTCTTCAGTAACTCGAAATAGTTAATCTAGATCATATATACTAAAGTTTCCTTCAGCTAATGACTAATATACATAGCTGATAAATGAGAGCTCAGATAAACTGTTCTAGCTATTGAAGAAGGTTTCTTATCAATTCAATTCGATTATCTATAAGGCAAAGGCCCATTCCTAGGTAGTTGATGATTTGAAATGAAAGGACAATAAGCCTTAGCAGGCACTGTTAGTATCTTAAAACATTTGGTTTAACAACCTACGTTTATAGCCTAAGAAGTCGAATGAAACTCTTGCTTTCCGTTCTACATTTCGCTACGATCAACAACTACATCTTTGTATATATTCTTTACAAATATAACTTTATAGATCTATATAGCTTTCGCATAGAGGTGTAGCAAATGCTAAAATCATATTTTTATCTCTTAATTTACATTCAAGGAAATTTATTCTATTAATTCATAAGAATTAAAACTAGAACAAATTATATTAAGAAAATCTTTCCATACTTTCCACACTTATGTAAAACTCAAACTCTTTAACTTTAACTCCAACTCTAACTTAAACTATATAAACAAAGCTCGTATCACATAACATTAACAAGCAACCCATATCGAACACATTAATTGACTTTATTTGACTTCGATTTGTGAGTCTTTTCATGTCCTTTGGCTATATATCCACAGAAGTCGATTAGGTTAATTAACTGGCAATCTAAATAAACAATTGCTCAATAAGTTGGCTAAACGCTTGGCCATAAAACGAGCGTTAAATAAATAATTGATAAGCCGTAAAGGTCATTAAAAACAGAGAAAGAAGAAGAAAGTCTGCAGCAGTTTGTTAACTTAATTGCCAAGCACAGATACAGATACAAATGTATCTCGACTGCGAACGTGACTAAAAAGCAAGAAGAAAAACTTCGCGTGCAAAATAAAAGCAAAGAAAATGTTTTAAAAATGTTGCATGTGTGGAGCAAAGAGGAAGAACGTGGCACGTTAATCAGCGCTCTGCTGCTTGCCGCGTTAATAATTCAATCCGCAGCGACGCCGACGGCGACGTCGACAGCGCACAAAGCTCAGCGAGTGCACGAACCAATTGCTGAGGCAGCGCGCGCCGCTGTGGTGAATAAAGCATTAGTCGAGACGCGCAGTGGTGAGTATGGGTAGCGTGGTATAGGGGAGGCTGACCAAATAAGAGCTATATGAAAATAAATTTAAATAAATTAAGAGCGGATAGAGATATTAAAACTAATTTAGTTTCATTTTGAAGCAACATCTATGCCATTATGCATGGCATATTAAATAGATATAGTATCACTCTTGTGTGGTCACCCTTTAGAGTAGAGTAGTAAATGCATGCAATTGTGGGGAATTACCGCTTACACTCACGTTCGTATTTTTAATGACAGCTGCAGTGCAGCGCCTGCCACGCAGCGTCTTTCATGTGCGCTGGAATCCCAATGAGAAATTCATTGTCGAGAGCCGCGAAAGTCCGGCTATCAACTCATCCAAGCTGGCGCCGCATCCACGCCTAAAGGTGTCCAAGAACACGAAGTTGACGCTCAGTCCAAAGCTCTATTTGTGCCACGACAAATACTCGAGCGAGTGCCACAATAAGACAGCATCCTTTCGTCGCCGCATTGTGCAGACCTTTGAGCGCTCGATGAGCGAATCGCTGAATGAATCGAATCACTATAATGTGGACTATAAGCCCGTGTTTGGGGACAGCTTCGAGGAGCAGTATTATCCTTCGAGCTGCCTGGTAATGGAGGCGGGTGTGCGAGTGCTGCGTCGCAAGGATCCGCCGTTCAACAAGCTGCCCTTCGGTCGGCTCTTTCCGCGCCAGAAACTCTTTCGCAATGTGAAGAGCATCAAGAGCTGTGCGATTGTCTCCAGCGCCGGTTCGCTGGCGGGCTCCAAGCTGGGCAGGTTTATAGGTGAGTGTTGGGGCTAGTTATGATTGGGTGATTGATGATTGCTGCAAATTGATGTCACTTCCATTGTCAGATAGCCACGATATTGTCATGCGCTTCAATCACGCACCCACCCGCGGCCACGAGGCGGATGTGGGCAGCAAAACGACAATACGCGTTGTCAATTCACAGGTAAGTAGCTGCAGTTGGCCGTCAATCAGCGTCAATCATTCGCTCTTCGCAGGTGGTCACCAAGACGGAGTTTGATTTCGCACATGCGCCAATCTTTAGGAATGTCACGATTGCCGCCTGGGATCCGGGTCGTTATAATGGAACTCTCGAGGATTGGCTGACCAGCGCCGATTACGATCTCTTCACCAACTACGAGATCTACAGACGTCGCTATCCCAAGTCGCGCGCCTTTCTCATCGATCCGCACTCCGTGTGGCGCCTCTGGCAGAGCCTGCAAATGTTTGCCGGCAATCGAGCTATACGCCGTAATCCGCCCAGTTCCGGTTTTATAGGTGAGTCCTTTAAACTGTCTCTCTAAAGAATAATGTCACTGCGTCCTGCTCGAATTGTGGCTTAAAAAGTATTTCCTTAAAGATAAAACATCTCTCATGTAGCTGAATCCTTGCACAGGCGATAGTATTTTGTGCTTTAGAATCCTGTGGGCCAACCCCATCGAATCCCATCAAGAGTTTATGGGGTCATCTAAATATCCTGGACTTGTGGAACTTCAGTACGCAGCTAATAGACAGCAGTAAATCCTTAATAACTCAATTGCTAAGAGGACTATTTGAACGTCCTTTGGCTATTCGACTGCCCTAACCAATGCCCAAAACATGATATATGACACATCAGGATATACTAGGATATGGCCGAGATTTGGCAGCTAATATTTAAAAAGAGGTCCTTTGATTCTTAGATAACCCCATTAAATGTTAATGCCCATCAATTCAGCTGGTTTGCCTGATTCAAACGCACTAAGTCGTGTCAAAATCCGTAAGGATATGGCCAAGTTAGAGCTATTTTACTAAATAAGGACATTTTTAAATAAGCTATAACTGCGTCAAACCCTTAAGGATCTCATCAGGATATACATTTTTGAACTCGTGAGAAGCAGTTCTTTCGATTGGCATTCAAGGACTTCAAGGATTCCACCAAAAATTTCGGCTCACATTTTTGCAAGGGGTATGGTCGGAAAATGGCCAATAGCCACATTAACTTGGCCATTTGAAGGACTATCGGGATGTCCTTTGGTAGATAAAAAGTCGTTAGCTCACTAATTAAGTATCAGCAATTGGAAGAATGAAGGTCCTTCAAATGACAGAGATATAAGGACTTTTCTCTATAGAAAAAACGTCGTCTAGCTCGGTCGTATCCTTGCGCATCCTGTCGAGTAAAATGTTAAAATGATTGGTGCCACCAGGACTATCAACTGGCCAAACGCCATCAAAATCGTCCTTGTGGTTGCCGAGATATTGAGCATTTTGTGTGTTTTGGTCGAATTCCTTGGCCGCCGAGGCCGGCCTCAAAGTAAAATTGTACAAGTCCTGGATTCTTAGATGACCCCATAATATTTTAATGGGCATCGATTGGGAAGGCTTAAAGATGTTTAATGCACCATAGCACTTCGTCCTGCGCAGGGAATTGGCCGAATTAGATGCATTTTAATTTGAGCATAAGGTGGCTAAAATCGAGCTCCTCAAAGTATGCAATAAAAATTTTGGTTTGGCAAATTTGTGCTGCGTCGATTTTCGTTCTGATATTTTAGCTGAATTCCCGGCGGCAAAGCTCGCCACTTCGTGCTCCGCTTGAACTTTAAAATAAGCATAAACTTTGTTTTTTTTAATTTTTTTAATGAAATTTATAAATTTATTGTGTTTTTTGGTTTAACTAAATAAATCTAACTAAAACGTTTATTACTTTTTCTGTGGTATAATTTTTGCAGCTCGAAAGTATGCAACATATTATGGATATCCCATTTTGGTTGCTTTTTAATGCGCAGCCTAAAAGTATGCAGGAAAAATTGTGGCAATTTTTATTTTTGGCAATTAAATTGTATACATGGATATTGGCCTACGTTGACTAGGGTAACAGAATTATATATTACATACTAGTTCAGAAATCAATAAATAAAAAATTATATATAAGTTAAGGAAGTCAGCGGCTTTAGTCCAAGTTACAATCAGTTTCACAATAGCTAGCAAATAGCTCTAACAGGTTTCTCCTTTTGCAGAAGTCTAGAACAGCCTTTTGTCTCTTAACTATTCTAATTATACATTTTCTAGTTGTAATCTAAGTTCCAATTCACATATATTTCAGGTTTGGCGTTGCTCCTCCCACACTGCCCCCAGGTGGACTTTATAGAGTATGTGCCCTCGACGCGACTCAATGGACGCTGCCACTACTACAGCAAAGAGGTGAGTCAAGGAAGAAGTCAGCTTAAAACATATTGCGACTACAACTGAATGCATTTCTTTGCTGCTCAGATGAATTCCGGCTGTACATTTGGCTCGTGGCATCCTTTGGCTGCCGAAAAGCTGATGGCATTGGATATGAATGTGGCCGACGATATGTCCGTCTTCCAGTTTGGCATCTTGCGCATACGACGGCCTGATAAGCTGCTCTGCGGCTTCAACTTCTTTGGTTACTGATGCCCCAGCGTCCCTCTCGTCCTGCAGGCTTCGCGGCGTCCAGTGACAATCAAATGTGCATTTAATCAAGCGGTTTTCACACACACAAGTTTCAAGTGGCTGCAATGAGTGTGAGTTGCGGCTGCTGTTAGTAAATATTTGCGATCAATAAATAATTTATTTGCCTATACTTGCGTGTGGGTGTGCCCCAAAGGCGGAAGCGGGAAGACCCTTGGGTCTTGGGCGGGGAGGGCACTGGCACCCACGCCTACGCCTACGCTCACGCCCACTTTAAAGCTCTTTATGATGGACAATGGCAGCCAGTTAAGTGCCTGTCGCACTTGATGCTGATTGTTTTCTTATTTGTTTACATCTCCAGGGAACTGCAGGCACTTTGTGACTTGAGTTGAACGACCAGTAGTTACCCTATAAAAAAATATAAAAATTAAGTATGAAGTATATGGAGCACATTAAAAATTAAAAGATTTATAGCGAGATTAGAGCGAAATTAATATCCATGACTAGACTAGTAGATACCCTATAAATTTCACTTAGCATATCTCATTAAAACTTGAACTATAGCAAAACAGCTTAACAACAAAAACGTGGCGAGACCATGTGATACCTTTTAAAAGTAGGATCAACTGGCAGATACCCTGTAAATTGAGCTTAACACGACTCTTTTAAGCTTGAAGTGCGCAAGTCAAAAAAATATTACAAATTTCAAAGCACATCCTGAGTAAAGACTTAAAGATACTCTATAAAGTGAGCACACTAAGAGATACCCTATAAATGCCGCCTAAGCATAAGCTTTAAGAGATTGCGATGGTCTAAAGAAGTTTGCATAGTTAAAAAATTGAAGAAGTGTGAACAGACTATGGGATACTCTGTAAATATAGTAGGAACTAGAAGATACCCTGTAAATGTATATTTCAAGCTATAAATGCAAAAAAACAGTTTACAAAATATACAAATGTGAAACAAATTGTGAATAGAGACTATGAGATACCCTGCAAAATATATATACGATATGCTGAATGCGCCTGAAATCAGTTTGCCAAACAGCTGGCAAGGCCATGCATACTCAACATATATTTTGTGTACAGGGTATGTCGTTGAGTGCTGCATGTTTTAACCATTAAATGCCATAACTGTTGTCTACACAACAACGCAACAGAGCGAAATTATATATATTGTATATGTACAATATTATTGTCAAGGGGGCGACCAAAAGATACAGAAACAGTGGAGTTTATGGATTTAAGGGGCGTGGCTGAAGAGGCATTGCTCATTAATACGTGCTGCGGCAGGGGCAACGTGACCGGCATTCAAAACAGCAGACCCAGACTCAGGCCGAGAAGAGACCAAGACCAAGAGCAAGACCCAGCAGCAGACCTACAAAAAAATAAATAAACAGACGCAGCGCAGCAGCTCCCCAAAAGGTGGGCAAAACGAAAAATGATTATGACGGCAGTCGAGGTAAACGCGGCGTATGCGCGATATTTGCGAATTAAATGGAATATCCGAGTGCGCGACCAAATAAAAGCAGAACATCTAAAGAAATGAAAATTGACATTAAAGCGCACAACGCATTGAACCAGGAAACCGCACGCAAAGCAGAACAGCTGAAATTTCAGCTGAATTCGCAGCACAAAATTCAGGCATTTGGGCAACTGCAAATGCAATCCAAATAAACATGAAAGCGACTTTTTTTTGTTGGTTGTTATGTGAATTCTGTCAGGTGTATATAGCGCTGCTGGGCAGAGGAGACTGCGGGGCGGCAGGGGCGTGGCTGGGGTTTATGAAAAGTTCAACTAACCAGGCGCTGCCAAAAGCAATTCGCATTTCATATTTGCATTTCGAAACAACATTTTTAGGGTGGCTTTTGTTTGGCAAATGCAAATATGCAGTTCACTCTCCCCCTCCCTCCCTCCCTCTGTCTCCACATCTTTCTTTCTACTCTCTCCTGGTCATCTACCACATCTGCAGCTGGCACTTTTTGTTTATTTGGCTGTCCACGTTTAGCCACAGCACAATTTGTTGATATGCTTTGATTGGCTTTTGCACTTGCGCGTTCATTGAACGTTGAACGCCGAACGTGATCGTAATGCTCAACAGCAGTAACAACAACAACAACAACAAATACCATTGAAAAATTATTATTAATTGCATATTTATATGGCCATAAAATGGAACTCAAAGAGCTGCGAATGCACGCTCTAGCCTAAAATATTCCCCAATTCCAAGAGATATGCCAAATGGAGATATCAAAGGAATTTTAATGCTTCAGCCAAGCGAGAGATACGTATGAAATTTCTTTTGTGTTTAGATATAGCTGAAAATGGAAAATACTATAGATTTGCAAGAGGTAAGAGGCAAGTAGTTGATAAAAAGAGCATATGCTGGCAGTCCTAGGTAGTTAACTAGCTTGTCTTATATGTCTGCAGCTGCAAGCTCTATTCCTAATATATTTATCCTCACACTATAAACGAGGAGCAGCATAGGATATAGAAGAGACTAAGTATGATAAATTCAAGCATTTTCAGGATACCTAGACTTTCATTATGATTCAACTGCTGCATTACATAAATAAGGATAAGATAAATGTTCTTGAATTGGACATCCTTACAAACCTTTTCATCTTTAGCCCTTACTTCTAGAAATATGAAATCCTCAGCATGTATGCCATAAATATAAATAAATAAATTAAAGAAAACATGGCATTAGCTCACGATTGGCTGAGTATAACATATATTGGGTATTGACTTGTGTAAGTAAACAGAGATATGCTGAAAGAAGTACTACTCAAGTTGTCGGTTCGTCTGCTTATTGAATATCTATTCCAACATATTCTCAATGATTCATGACTGTGACAATTTGTGCTCCAGCTTGCGCCTTCTACGCGCCACATGGTCGTAATCTTATTTAAACATTGATGTCATACAATTTCCTATGCAATAAAGCGCGTTTCAGTGATATTAAAAATATGTTTCTTTTTTGTATTATGATTAAAGCCTGTGTAACTCTAAAAAGCACAAGCTACTTTTTGAGAAATGTGAAAGTCCTGAAAGTCCTTTACGCTAGATTTTCTAAAGAGCCGAACCAGTAAGCCTTTAGTGTTACTCTATAAACAGAATATCAGAGCCTTTGCAAATTTTCTCTTCTGCCTTATGGAAATCTTCATAGCTTTTCATGCTTTGCCCAAAGAACTCGAATTAGTTGAGCTGAGTGAAATCAAAAGATGTTAAATTTGTATATACGATATGAAATCAATTTCAATTTGAATGCCAATCGAAAGTGTAACTGCCTAGGATTCATTGGAACTCTGATACAACAAAAAACTATTCACTTCTAGCTGTTTACATTCACCTGTAAAAACAATCGGAAAATGGCATAAAATATGGCAAAAATAATTAGCAAAGCAAATGTAATTATTGTGTAAACACGAATCTGAAGCTCGTAAAAGCCATTAGCAGATAGATGAGTATGCAAATTATAGAGAAAACATCTAGATAAAGCTGCTGCTGCTGAGGTGCATAAGAAACGTGGCTAATTGTGGCTGTGGCTGTGGCTGTGGCTGTGGCATAGGCTTAGCTTAGCTCGTGTCGCTTGCGCTTATCAGAAATCATTTGAAACGGATATGCGGATGTAGCTATATGAATATCTATATATTATGTATGGTCAGACGCGACTAATTGAGCTGGGGCTGGGGTAGCTGCTGAGGCTGAATCTGGCTCTGGATCGAGTTGTTAGCTAAGTTCTCAGGGCACGTGATCGGAGAGCTAAAAGCGCTCGTTGCACTCATTTCTATGTTCGATGCATATGCGATTCATTTCAGATCTCGATGTTGCTAAATGACAGCTCTGGTCGTCGCAGAGGGTCAGCATTGACAACGTCTGGCTTTAAAAAGTTTATTTATATTTGTTTTTTTTTTGTTTTTTTTTTCGCTTGTCAAGTGAATTTGGCTGCGCTTCAATGTTGCTGCTAATTGGAAGCAGACCCCAGCACGAATTATCTATTCTCTCCAGCTCCTCCTCCGCCTGCTACTCTGCCTCAACTGCCCCCAATCAGTCAGCGAGTCATCCGCACTCTTGAACAACTGATACAGCTGCGATACTTGATTGAAAATCCAGCGATTCGCATTAAAAATTTTGTTTATTTTTTTATCCCAAAATTTTTCCCTTCTGCAGAAGAACTTTGCAGACGAGCTTAAGCGACTGCTTAATACGCGTTCAAGGCTCAATTGATGTCCAGTTGAGACGATGCTCAAGAGGCTAAAGGAAATGCATGATTATCGATTGGTACACAATTGTAAACGATATACAACCTATCGATATATAATATATCTGATTATTATACTATTATAATATATATATGCATACATCATATAGGAATCTATCTATAGAGTAAATCAAACGTGATTCAATTGATTCTGACTCGCAAACGAGTGAAGCTATAGTTATTAACCACGCCCCCTAGGTAGCGCTATGCATTGGCATAGACGATTAAATATACAGTTCCAAGACCTTGTGTCGTGCAAGATAAGGCTTTATCAGAAGTCATCTTGCACTAGCATAGACAGACGTACATAAGTTGGAAAGTCTTTAGCCTAACCCATACACAAGTCTTATGAGTAAAAAACCAATATACCCTTTAGCTTTCACATCGACTCTATATGAGAGCAATTTGTTTATTCATTTGTCGCGTGGTTTTTTTTTCTTTTTTGGGCGAAAGCATTACTCAAGATATTTCTGAGAAATGCTGCGCTAGTCACATATATTTCCATATGAATTATGAATTATATTGTTTTATATATGAAAACAAAAGTGCGCCTCATGATGCAGCTGGGCGGGTCCTACGCGGCGACCGCAACACGTACCAAGAGTAAAAGCCAACAGGGCGACACCTGGCACAGCCAGACAAAGGTGGCTCAGGCACGCACCTAGCAGCCAGCTAAAGTCAAGGTGAGTCTGCGGCGACTGCATTTCATACAGAAAATAAGCAACCCACTCGGAGAGACTCAAGAGACTCAAGGTCAACTTAACGGTAAATACTAAATGATTCATCAAAATATATAGTCAACTGTGTCGGAGACTTTCTTTATA